TTAAGTAGATTATGAGGGTTTTAATAGAGGGTGCTGTGAGTGGTTGCTAGGGCATTTCTAGATAGTTTCTGGTGTATTATTGGTGACTGTTCCTAAGTGTTTTCGAGGCCATTGCTATATTGTTGCTAGGGTGATCAAAGGAATTATGGGAGACTGAGATGTGAAAACATCAAAGTTTAGCTAAATAGTGCAAAACAAGGCGAAAGATTTTACAACCATGTCCTTTCACTTACTGAGCAAATCAAAAAGAGACAGTGTATCTCTGGGGGTAGGGATGGGCGATATCTTATCGTTTGCGATATACCGGTAAAAATTCTCACCACGATAAGAATTAGTCTTCCTGCGATAATAACGATAAAGTCTAGTTGTTGACATATTTCTGTGTGCGACAGTGCGTAGCGACATCACGGAAAGCGGACGTGAAATTGAGGAGGAGTAGCCTATATCGCTAAATGAGGAGCTCGAGCTGTAACTGGTTTGGTTAGGGCTGTACAGTGCACTGTGGCATGTATAGTCTCAGAGAAATACACCAAAATATAATGTACTCATATGAGGATGCAGGGTCTCAGGAGGTTAATGCTCACCCTATTTTGGGTAAAAATAGGAAAGATAATACTTTTTTTAAAAGAAACAGGATTCCCTGAATTGTCATTGATATCGTTATCGTAATAAATACCAGAAATATTGTGATATATTTTTAAGCCCATATTGCCCATCCCTACTACACCCTCATTCACTATTCCCTACGTGAGTTTACTAATATAGTCCACCTGACAGAGAGAATGAAAACTAATGAGTGAATTCAGACAATGATGAACAGCTGCTGTTAACAAGCAGAATCACTAAAGAAAAGAGCAAGAAGTGAAACTACAACTGAGATACAGCCACAGATTTTGATGAAATCAACTGAAATAAAACAGCAGAAGATGCTTAAACAACTTCACAAACAGCATCACCAGCTTCACACATTACAGTCTGACTTTATTTCAGTCATATATCTACACAAATTCTTTGTGAATTAACAGAAGTTCAGATGTTTTATTGAAAACGTTTAGTTTGACCTCACTATTGTGGTGATCAGTGTTTGCTTTAGTTGAGCACTTGACCCTTGACTTTTTAAATTTAGTCTGTTTCTGACTGTTGTACCTGTGTTTATGAAGCACATTTTTTTATAGCATGAAAAGCCAAGATAAATGTGATTAATTGGTTTTGGTTAATTGGAACTGATGGTGAAATCATCATCAAATGGTTGAATTCAGAGATCCCATTCAGTGGCCAATCTGGATTTTTTATTTATTTATAGTGATGTGTTTAATGATATTTCATAACAGCCTGCTCATTATTTTGCTTTAACGTATTATTAGAGCTTTGTTTTTGGTAACAGAAGAGACCCTGGACAAAATCAGGGAACATGGTAATGACGTCATTGGGAAAACATAATGAGCAATATTACCATCTCTCCCACAGTCTCTTCCAGCTCTTGCCATCAGGAAGACAGTACTGGAGCATAAGGGCCCACTCTGCAAGACTGCTCAACAGCTTTTTCTCCCAGGCTGTGAGAACCCTCAATTCCAATCACCCCACCCCCCACTGAAACCTCATCCACAACCCTAGCCCCTGAAACCAGGACCCTCTCTCCCCCCATCCCACCACACCACACCACACCACATGCCCCACATGAAAACTGTTGAAAACCTCAAGAACATTGTGCAATTCTGAGTGTGCTACACACAGGTGAGTGGGTTGGACAAACCACCTGTAGAAAAACACACTCTTTCCTCTCTATATGCACCAGACACTTTCTTATAAACACTCCATGTTACAAGGACTTAATAAGATAACAAATGTTTACTTGTGAATGCACCACACATGCACTACTTGCTTCTTAACCTTAAATACCTCTTTTGCACAATATCATGCACAGTCATTATGTAAAGTACTTGTATAGTCTGTCTTAGGTTATGCGTATGTATAGTAAACTATTTATAGTTTATATATAGTTAGATTACAGCTTCAGATAGTTAACTATGTAGGTCAAAAAATTGTTCTTACGTCTAGTGTTGTTTGTTTATATTACGTTTATTTATGTAGCACCGTGGTCCTGCGAGACACGACATTTCACTCCACTGCATGTCAAGACATGTAGCGGAATGACAATAAAAATCAACTTTACTTGACATATTTGGCCTCAGCCCTCTTTGCCTCAAAAAACATGTTTAAAAACACATGGCTGTAACAGCCAAACAAAAGTTAATGTTAGAAAATCAAGGTTCAAGAACCCAACTAAAGCAAACATTGATCTCCATCATGGTAGTGTCCAAAACCAACCCGTTCTCATCAATCTGCGTATAAATAACACGACTTTACACTTTCTAATTGCGTGTAATGCATATGCCAAATGCCAATTTTGCGTGCATATGATACGCCAATCCTTCACATTAACGTCGGTGGAGAGCAGATGCGTACAAATACCACGCGTTATCTTCAGCGACAGTGACGTCACCAGCGAGGCTCAGTTCGTCCAGTTCACCTGATGCGTGTACACCTTCAAACAGGTAAGGGCAACGATCTTTTTTTGTAATGAGATCATGTGGTTAACGGTATTATTTTAATTATTTCAGTGTTTCTGCATCACGTTACATGGGGTCGTGTGTTAAAATGGCAGCGTATGCGTTCAAATTATGGAACAGTGGGCTGCTCAGTTAGCACAGCTGCTAGCCTACCATTGACATTAGCCTAAGCTAACTTCTACTGCATATAGACCTGTTGCAGTTTGAAATAAATAAATAAAACAGTTTTTAATCATGTTGTGACATGGGTCTTCAGCTTTTAGACATGGCTGATGACAGCACAACAAATCAACCAACCCGGTATCGCGTGATGATCGTGATCATGTAAAAACCATATTTTTACCATATTAGTCTAACTGTTGCTCAACCATGTCATGTGTAGCCAATGCACAGTAACTATAACATATTTACCATGCTTCTCCCACCGTAACCGTAGTTTTACTGTGGTATTTGTAGTTACTAATGCACAATAACCACAACATTTACTATGGGTTTACCACAGTAAACGTAGTTTTACTGTGGTTTTTGTAGTTACTAAAGCACAATAACCACAACACTTATTATGGGCTTGCCTCAGTAATCGTAGTTTTACTGTGGTATTTGTAGTTACTAAAGCATAATAACCACAACACTTACTATGGGATTACCTCAGTAATCGTAGTTTTACTGTGATATTTGTAGTTATTAAAGCACAATAACCACAACATTTACTATGTGTTTACCACAGTAACCATAGTTTTACTGTGGTATTTGTAGTTACTAAAGCACAATAACCACAACACTTACTATGGGCTTGCCTCAGTTATCGTAGTTTTACTGTGGTATTTGTAGTTACTAAAGCACAATAACCACAACACTTACTATGGGTTATTTGGATCTTTGTGTTTCTGATTTGACAATGTTCTCAGTTTTTTGCGAATAGTTTGGCAGTCTTGATCAAACCAATTTTTGTCATTTTTTGGGTATTTGATTTTTTCCATTTTTTTTTTTCAATTTGGATTGTTTTGCTGATTTTTCAAATATGTAATTTATATCTTTGATAGTGAGATTGACATCTTCATTAGTGTGAGCATAGGTGTTATTTAGAAAGTTATCTACCAGCGCTTGTATTTTTTGGCTGCTAAGTGCTTTCTGATATTCTTCAGCGCTGTTTTCAGCCCATCTCCCGCAGATGAGCACGTTTCCCTGGGCCTGGAAGTGGCTTGTCTCTTCTTCTAATGTGGAGAACATGTCTTCGCTGTAGTAGGGTGACTCAGATGGCGGGATTTATATGGCACACAGGAATATATCTTTTCTCTCTCTTTTTTTTACCACAGTAACCGTAGTTTTACTGTGGTATTTGTAGTTACTAAAGCAGGCTGAACAAGTCCTTCAAAGGTTCAACCCTTCACACGTAATGTTGAAGACATTTAGTTATAACTGATTTGCTTTAATGAACGCATCCTTATATTATGTGTTAATCAAATATTTTGGTCACAGTTCATTTTTAACACACAGTCTCAACATGTATGTGTTTCTCTCCATTTCAGCTGAAAGGGAAGACCAAAAAAAGGCCTGTCATGGGATTTGAATTTGACCATCTTGTGCGTTTATGGAGAAGACCAAAAGCTGCAAAGGCAAACACTTCCAATGGTACGTCTGTGTTGATCTGAGCACTTTGACTGAACTTTACTGCAGAGACATTTTTCACAGCAATTGATGTTTCTTAAACTTTGGTTTACATACCCTACGTCCCCATCAGGAAGAACCCCCAGAAAAGTGTCATGTCGAAGTAGTAATAATAATTCATACAATTTACCAAGTCAGCAAATTCATATGGTATTGTACAAGCGTACTTTTACTCCTACTGCTGTCATTGGCCATTGCCTCATCTCATGCAGATTGTGCCAATTGGAAGTAGTCACAGTGTTTATATCATAAAGTTTATATTAAGTCCATTGTATTCTTTATTAATCTTTACAAATTGGCGCCGTCTCTTCCCGTTCTAACAGTACATGATATCTGTCCACACCTCACAGTCTGCCTTTCTTTCCATGTTGATTTTATCTACAAGCAGAATCACTGAAGAAAAGAGAAACACAAGAACTACAACTGACTTCAGCCACAGTCTTAGATGAAATACTGAAATAAGAGAAGACATTAAATCTCTCAAGATCTCAGCAGAAGATGATTAATCATCTCCACAAACAGCATCACCAACTTCACACATTACTAACGAGTTTGAATTTTTGTTTGTCATGCGTCTAAAAATTTCTTATTTTCAATAAACATTAACATCTAAATCTCTGTTAATTCTTAATAAGACAATTTGAAGTCACCATTGTGGAGATAAGTGTTTGCTTTAGTTGGGCTCTTGACCCTTGACTTTTTAACATTAGTTTAACTCTGGTTGCTGTAACTGTGTTTATGAAACACATTGGTTAAAATAAGAAAAGCCAAAAGAAAATGGGTTTAGATTATATTGGCTGTTTTTTTTGATAATAACATAGTTGTCATGTTGTAGCCAGGATCACTTATGCCATCAGTAGTAATGTGTGATATAGATTGTTATTTATCACAACTGAATATTAGTGAAATAATATGAAGAGCTTTAAAAACACTTTGCACACCAGTATAGAAGATCTGTACTGTTTAGACACGCAGACATCAAGAATCAGCTATGAATCTCAACAATGGTGACGATCATCAGACAGATTCATGCTGCAGTGCATTCTGGGTGCACCAATCATAACTCATCCATGGCTCCCAGCATGCATTGCGACATGAATAAATTATGAAACTGCATTGTCTTAGTATTTTCTTTTATTTTTACTATTTGCTTTTATTTTTGTTATTTTT